ACACTATAGATCATTGTTGAACAGTCAGTTGAATGGAACCCGTCAGTATACATCAACTTCCTTGAATATGAGGAAGCATTTGACAATGGATAGGAAAACCCTATGGATCCTTTCCTCACACTATGGTTTACCTGAGAAGATCGTCAACACCATGCGGAATTCATACGACCGACTACATTGCAAAGTTGTGAGTGGAGAACAGCCGATTAATCCATTTCAAGTGAGGTCCGGTGTCAGACATTTTTGCTTACTATCGACCTTTCTCTTCCTCCTGGTGGTCTACTGAATTACAAATAACTTCGCATCTCAGGGTAAGCACGGAATACAACAGACAGATTGGATGCGGCTAGACGATCTGGACCTCGCAGATGACCTAGCTTTTTCATCTCATACACACCAACGTATGCAGGCGAAGACAGTAAGTGTAGCAGAAGCCTCTGCATCAGTAGGCCTCAGCATCTACTGTTCGGCTAAACGGATACGTAAGAACTCGGAAGGATAGAGGCACACGTCGTTGCCTTTTCTGCATACGCTCCCACTGAAAGCTATCTGAACTTCTTCAGAAAGCTAAACGCTCAGACATAGTACTCGTAGCAGGTGACTTTAATGCTCAGATAGGCAGTTTAAACCAAACAGAAAGGCACTTAGGTGGATATTTTAGTATTCCGACACAGCGAACAGATAATGGTGATCGTCTGCTGCAACTATGCTCAGACAATCGTTTATTTTTAGCAAACACATTTTAAGCACAAGGAAAGATCGTCTAACATGGCGACCCCCTACACCAAACGAATGACGGACTCAAATAGACCATATTGCCATCAGTCATCGTTGGAGAGGGTCGGTACAAGATTGTCGCTCATTCTGGAGTACCTGCTTGGACTCCGACCACGCCCTAATACGGGCACGCATCTGCTTGCGTCTCACTGGACGCAAAAAAGCCACAGTAAAAAGACCCGTTAGAACTGAGTTGAGTAACGAGAAAACCAAAAGTAGGTTCCAGTAACAACTGAGGTCACAATTAGGTAGTTCTGAAAACGAGGTTGACCCATATGTTGCTTGGAAAGCTATACAAACAGCTGTGGAAACAGCAGTGACATCTATCAGTGATTTAAACCACAGGGTTACAAAGAACCAATGGATTTCCTTAAAGTTTATTGCACTGATGGATTCTCGCAAACTCATCCCATCAGGCTCTGAACACGATGAAGAGCGTAAAGAAATCAGATCTAGGTTCAGAAAAAATCTAATGAACGACCGTGAGCAGTGGTGGGTAACGAAAGCAAAAGAGATGGAAAAGGCGGCGACTAAAGGAAACAAGACAGCTTTAAAAACTAATTTAAAAAAAAACGAATTAATAAGTCAAATGTAAGTGAGATTATTTCGAAAGACGATACTCTCATCTGCTCCCAGTCCAGACGTTTAGAACGATGGGCGGAACATTTTAGAGAACAGTTCAACTGGCCTTCAGCTACTCTACAACTACCCTCCATTCCCAGACAGTGTGAATGGAACATTGAAGTAGGTCCCCCAAATCTTGATGAAGTTGAGGTTATAGTTAAGCTGAAACGAGGAAGGGCAGATGGATTGGCTCCAGAGGTCTTTAAGGATAATGGTCCAATTTTAGCGGTTAGGTTGACTAATATTTTGGCTAAGATCTGGGAATTCTCACTAGTAATCACTTATCGTCCCAATATATAAGAAAGGGTCAAAATCATCCTGTGACAACCACAGAGGGATTAGTTTGACTAATATAGTATCCAAAATACTAGCCTCGATAATTATCAAACGCCTAGCTAAGACTCGTGAACTGCAAACACGAGAGAACCAAGCTGGCTTCAGACCTGGTCGTGGGTGCATCGACCACATATTCACCATTCGTCAGGTTCTAGAACATAGGCATGCTTATCGGCGTCCGACAATGGTGATCTTTCTTGACTTAAAAGCAGCATTTGACTCGGTAGACCGCGAGATTCTGTGGCAGTGTCTGTCATTGAAAGGCGTCCCCGAGAAGTACATAAACCTTGTGAAGGCTATTTATTCGAACACTACCAGTCGAGTCAAAGCTTATGGCGAACTGTCATCTACTTTTGCAACCTCAGGCGATGTCCGTCAAGGCTGTCCACTTTCTCCATTTTTCTTTAACTTCATCATAGACCTATTGACGGAAATAACATTCTCGTCTACTGAATTCTCGGGTATTGATCTCCTTCCAGGAAGTCCACTTATCGACTTCGAGTACGCAGACGACATAGTCCTGTTTGGTGAAGACGCTGATAAAATACAGAGTCTTTTGGTAGCATTAAGCAACAACGCCAGAATCTCATTTGAAATGTTATAAAAAAATACAATCTGACAGTTATCCGTGTTTGATTTATGAAACTTACTTACGTCAGTTACTCCTCATGAAGGAGCGTAGGCCGCTCACTAGCATTTGCCATTCAACCCTGTCCTGGGCAACCCTTTCCAGTTGTTATACATCTTTTTTCATGTCTGCTTCTATTTCCCGACATGTGTTCTTTGGCCTTCCGCTTTTCCGCTTCCCTTCAGGATTCCACGTTGGGGCCTGCCTTGTGATGCAGTTTGGCGATTAGCGTAATGTATGTCCTATCCATTTCCATCGTCTTTTCCTAATTTTTTAGCGAGTTAGTTTTCTACGGGATTGGGTCGCTAACCCCATGCCCAACCCTCGTTTACACGGGCTTTGGACCGGCAGTAACTCTAGAATAGCTACAGGCAGAGTGGCTGAACATATTTCTTTTGGGTGCAAAGTGGATTTTCGATTTATGAAAAGTATCCAATAATTATGAAGTCAGTGATTATTGACTTGATTAACTTTTTTCTCACATTTCGCTCATCGTTTAAGCATAAATCTTGCTAACGAGATTGTATTAGCGCACCCAAGGTCTGAATTATACTCAAACACTTGTCACTAATTAGTAGGCAGTACCGAAATCCATTTCTTATTGCTGATCGGAATTCATTTTAACTATCCTTTAGTTTGGCTCTACGGTATATCAATTTGTGTAGACAAATGTCTTATATATTTATAGTTCAATTAATAATTTTGTATGTTTGTTTTGCTGAGAAGTCTCAATATATATATCTCTTCAGTAGCCTTTCTTTTAATTTCTAATATACCAGTGTGAAATTTTGTAGGATGTATTTATTTGGTGACTACCAAACTCGGAAACTTCATATATATAGAAACTACACAAATCCCCAGATGACGATGAGAATCATAATATTTGAAAATAAAATACTACTAAAAAAGGAAATCGTATTTAAACTTCCGAAAGTGAAATCCTAGCTATGTGCAATAGATACTGAGAACTTTGTGATTTAGTAATCTTACCGGGTAAGCTATCGTCCAAAACCTCTTATCAAGAAACATACTCTTTTGAAGAGTGCTTATAGACAACTATAATTGGGTTACAAATAATCGTTGGGCTATTCCAGTGCATATAAAAGCACTGATCGTTTGTTTGGGAACCAATCAAACACAATATTTAGTCCAATGAGTATGTGTGCAGAAGTTTATTTTACGTAATTTAAGGTTTATCAGTCTTATACTTTCCACTTATAAGAATTAGCCTATTCTACCTATTTTTCATTTGTTCAAAATGTTTCTGGAAATCCTGAGAAGTCAGCTACTAACCCACTCCATGCTTTTCTCAACACCGAACGTTTTGTTGGAATCGTGTATACATATGATCATACAAGAATCCATTTATTTCCAATCATCTAAACAGTAAACCAGATGTTGGAAGGCATAAAAGTAAACTTTTCACCATCAGATATCGATAGCTGCCTTCACCTTTATTCAGTACATTTCGTGGATTTGTTGTTGGTGTACTTGCTTCAAGTAACAATTCCTCATTAGAACCAAATTTATCATTTTTCCCAAAGGCTTTGAAACTGTTAATTTTTATGTTTCTTCGTTTTTGGCTAGACTATAATTTTCACCATATCTAGTATAAATATTATTGCTTTCACTTCTTCAAAAATCTTATTGAGTTGCTCTTTTGAAAATCTACAAACAAATAAACTATAAATACTCTTGACATCAATGGTTCGGAAATGAATAGAAATCAACAGAGGGATTCGAACTTTGGTATTATATTATGAAGAATTCTCCATAATTATATTTTGTCGGTCAGTGACAGCAAAAAAGTATCTGGAGAAATATTATACAAACTCCTTTTGTTCATATACTTAAATGAAACACGAGTGATCCCGGGTTACCCAATTAGATTGTCTTCAACAATCAAGAGTAAAACCACATAGTTCATTAAAGACAGTTATTAACAATTTCGAATTTTGTAGATTTGTTGTCAGATAAGTTTACACTGACCAAAAGAGAGGTGAATTAAACACTGAAGTAATAATATCAAGGTAAAATCATGACAATTGGTTCAGAAATTATCCACTAGATGTTTTTGATCTTCCATTTACACTACAGTTTAAGAAGACACAAGACGAAAGTTCGGGGGTCTAACATATCATGATACGCACAAAGTTCTGAAATTGAAATGGCTGGTTCCTATTCCACAATGAAAATGCCCCCAATGACTTTGTAAACAATCCCGATTGTGCTACTTAAATATATTGGGTTTCCACTATTTCATCCGCAATGTGCTTACATTTACATCAAAGTGAAGTATACGAAATAGTTATTATGAGGTTATTTATAGCACATTTCGACTAAACGAAATGAACTATTTCAATTTTTTGGAGAGAATCTATTTTATCTTTAAATGCATCGATTACACGAGTAATAATTAGAAAAAGAAGTGAAAAATCCAACCTGAGAACATATTTTAAGATAAAACTTAACAGGTAGAAATTAGAAAAGGTGTAAAAAAAATAAGTGAAAATATTGAATTATAAGGTATGTTCAAATGCAAACACCTACACAGGGTAAAAAATAATTTCATCAAAAATATTATCTTATCAATAGAAATATAACCCAGTAAAAACAAAAACAGTAGGGAGAAATTTCAATTAACACGTAAGTCCCTGAACATATATGATAGTCCATCTTCAACATTATGATTTCGATTACTTTCATCTGGAGTTTTAGACAACTGATACTTTTCCAGTTCACAAGGCATTTTAGTTACATTATTGGAAGAACAATGCGGAAGAAGACGTTTATCATACTGTGCAGCTAAACTGGGTCGAAGCATACGACCTTTAGGTGTATTAATGAGTAATTCAAACTTCGAACGACAATGACCACAAATCTATTAAAAGATAAGTACACTAGAATAAATCACTATTTAATTGGTTTATATGCACTTACAAAACATTACAATATAATCTGGATTAGAGACTTTTTCATGCATTCTTAACTCACTTCATTTAATTAGATTTTAGCAGCTAGGCACAATAGATCTTTATTGATGTCATAGTGAATAAAAGGATCTTCAGAACACCTCAATAATTATGTTGCTAGGAAAATAGAAATCTGAGATTTGGATAGTTACTTTTTTGACCAATTAGTTTATATATAGCTTTGATGAGTGTTTACTAATTTTTTCGTGGAGTTGCTTTATAATAATTTATCTTTTATTATTCATAAACTACAGTTAATTGTGAATAATGTTAATCAGCTGCGTATCAGAAATATCCAACTTATGTACTTACTGAGATTTGAGGGTTTTAGTGCATTAAGGTTTTATCTTTTACTTATTTAATCATGTGAGTTTTGCATTTGATTAGTTAAAGATACTGGTGACTACTCAACTGATCTTGTGCTCTGATTATAGATTTATTAAAATTGGGTTTTGCATGGAAAATACGGTAATAAAGTTTGTGGCGTAGTGACGATCAGAACAGATATATACTACCGTAAATGACAACGGTAAGATTTATATGGAACGAACGACAGTTAGTCAGTCATAACGTAGAACCTGAACATATGTACATCGGTTCACGTTATCACACCATCAGCATAGACAGATGAAACTACCAGGGCAAATCCCAGAGTAGTAGAGATAATGACAGTATAGGTTGTAGTGGATTAAGTAAAAGATTAGGAATCAAATATAAAATCCAAGAAAAGAATATAAATTGACGAAATAATGGAAAATGCGAGGAATTTGGAATTCCAGGATTTGAGGGAGGACAACGAGTAAATACACCGGCGTCATTGCAAACGATTAGAAGTTATGTAATTCAAAGTCTAACCATTGGTTGAGTTAATCAAGCGGACCCCAACCAAGTAGTCTATACTTAATAACATGGCCAGATATAATTATCAACAAATTCGTATACTGATGTCATGTTTTGGTTTGAGCGTCCTTACCTTTCTTCTCACACCAGGAAACATCGAGGTAGGCGGTGATTGGGGATACGTACGTCCCAACAACCTCAGTTGATGAAGATTCGCTACCTTATCAATTAAATTCCCATCGTTACCTAGTACTTTATTCGTAACCTATGCATACTTCGTGGAACCAAAATACACGAGCAATGCTTTGTTGACACGTATGTTAGAATACCAGTAACCTGTGAATATGCCCTACTCTTAATGTCCATGTCTAACACCTATAAAGTAGAACAGAGCGGACTGCTGAGCTGTAAACTCGCATTTTGTTTAAAGGATGGATATTTGGGTTACGCCACTAGTGACTCAAGTTGGCAAAAGCCAATCGAACTTTCTGAATCCGTGCCGAGATTTCTCAGACACCAAAACATCAGTACTGATGGGACTACCACGATAAGTGAGGCGATCGATGCGTTCAACTACTTCACTCCCTACCACAGATTCAGACGACGACGCAGGTCAGTCCTGAAGTAGCGGAGAGAGGAGAGAACCATATCTCAAACGTGGTTGCGTTGTTACTTAAGATGTTCAGAAGGCCGTATTTTGCAAGCGTCTTGGTCAAACAGAACTATATCATCTGTGTATTCTAAGTCAATTTTTCGCGAAAATTAATTTGCAGGCGTAACTGTAAAACCACGTGAGAAGTTATTGGGAGGAATATCTGTGTGAACAATTGTTTTTGTCATCTGACGTTGCAGTTTTAAGTTCATTATTATTGGTTGTTCTACAAAGGCCAAAATAAGAGATGCATTAATGAATTTGACAATGTTATATGTTAAAAATGGGGAACCTTTACATTTGTTACGGACAAATACTTCAAAACTGTGCCATTTCCAAATTAGAAAAGTCAGAATGATTCGCTGTAAGGTGCCAAGTTATAATCAGTATGACAATTTAAAAAATCGTGTCAATAAAATGCATAATACAAAGATGTCATCGGGTTAATGGAGATAATATTGGTAATAACATGTGAATATAATAAGTAACCAGTGTTCGCCACTTTTAACATTTAGCATCGTTTATTTCACTACCATACCTTATTTTGGCATTTGTAAAATAACACAACAATACAAAGACCCATGAATAAAAATAATGTTGACAATATTTGGCAAGATTAATTTTAGACGATAAAAATACATAAACCAAAAATTGAATGTGCGGTGATTTTAGTTCTTTCTATCAAATTAACATGACTATTGACTTATTGGGTCCGAGTTTGACCAGTGTAAGAGAAGTAGGACGTATTTTTTCAGCATACATAGCTTCGAATTTTTTATCAGGATAGCTAATGCTTTTGCCATTTTAAGGACGTGTGACAAACTATTGAAAATCATCAATTTAAACTTGGATTAATTTTAATTTGGTTATTTATTCTCTGAAGAAGTGACTTACACTAAGTCACGAAACGTCAGAAAATCCAATTTTCTACTCATTAGGATATTAAAAATATATTATTTTTGTTTATACGCTGGAAGTTGTTCACGAGCACGAAAATACTAATTCCTGTATCTAACTCCACATGAGCAGTCGGATCGATAAATACAAAACGAGGTGTTCAGTTTAGATGATTCAACTTTCACTTTCAGTAATGCCATCGGAGAAGTGGAAAATATTATCTTGATTGTTTTACATAACCTCTGGATTGGTATTTCAATGGATAAATCGCCTTTGCATTGTAGGGGCATGAATAGGGACCTCTTATTCAAAGTATGTACATTTTTAATTTGGTATTCATAGTCACATATCTGCTTATTAAATCGTAGAACCTTATAAAAATTTATCGAAAACAATATTCTTTATATATATATATATATATATATATATATATATATATATATATATATATATATATATATATTTGTGTTATAGTATTATGGAAATGCTTAAACAGTTGGGCAAAAGAATTATTTTGAAACTGAGGAAAGTAGAAGAATAGTCACTTACGTTAAATGAGCAACCTAAGTAAGCAAAAGAAACTTTGAATCACAAACAGTTTTGTATGGGAATCAGATGTTATTATGTCACTTGAGCTATGGTTTAGAGATAGTGGAGAAGATGTGTAGCTCAGGTGGATGATTTTGATGGGGTTTTGTTCTCTGATCTGGATGATTCGGTCGTGGAGCTTTCATGGTTCTTCTGAACAACATCATCAGCACAAACTTCAGATAGAAGTGAAGCGTTAGAATTTCTCCACAGGACAAGCTGTGATCCACATATGGAGAAATTCTAACGCTTCACTTCTATCTGAAGTTTGTGCTGATGATGTCGTTCAGAAGAACCATGAAAGCTCCACGACCAAATCATCCAGATCAGAGAACAAAACCCCATCAAAAACTATTGGTTTAGTCTACTTAGAATAGCGGCATCAATTTTAAATAATTTATATTAGAATGCTATTAGTGAAAAACGGGAAATAAAATAAGGAAATATTTTAATCTTACCTTTTTAGTAATATCTAAAGATTTGCTATGTCGATTAATACATACACCACACCCTGTGCATCGATATGTGAATCGTGTATCAATTGTATATGCGTGACAAACAGAAACCACAGGCAGCTTTGGCCAAACTCGATGAACACGGTTAGCCCAAGATTTCCAATGTCGTCCATGACCATCATTTAAACCATTAATCAACCAAACAGCAGCGTGACAAATCTCGTGCAGCAGAGTATCGCGAACGCGCTCAGCTGTGGTGCATACTTTTTCCGATAACAAAATCTGAGCGATACGAACCTATAAGTTGTCACAAGTTGGAAAAAACGTGGCAATAATGAAGTTGGTTATTATTGAACATTCATCGATTGATGACACATGTTTAAATAATTTATACAACAGGTCAAATTTAAGAACTTTGATCTATCTTTGGCCTATTTGTTGTTTATAATCATATTAAAATTCGGATCGATAAACATCACAATAATATGGGTTAGTATCAGTCAACTGCACTAGTTAGAATGACCATTGAAAGTCAGTCAAATGAAATTAATGTTTTGTAAGAATATTTAACGAAAGACAATTATATACAAAAAGTTATATTTCTTAAAAAGTAAACATTAAGGAATTTAGAAATGGAATGACTGGAAATTTCTTTTTCGAACTTCTTTTGAAAATGCTGAAATTCAAAACAACCGTATTTGGTATTTGATCATCTTGATGGCATTTATATTTGTCGTACAAGTTTATTCGAGACGTTCGGCAAGAAAGATGACAAATTAGTAATCAAGACTCATTCATGCACAGGTAAAGGATTCTTTCTAAAAAAAATCTACTTACACTTAATAAACTTATGTTGGATCGACTAATCACTCAGCAGAACATTTAGAGAAAGTAGATAAATAGTAGCTAAATCAATTAAATGATACAGCTTCATTTGAAGAAAAGCTGCATTAATGAGCTGTGATCAAATGAAAGTTCAATCATTACATTAAAGCCAAACTCACAATCAGTTGCCGTGGCCACAACAACTTATTTACCTAATACAACTTTGTATGCTTGGTTTTGTTATATATTTATCAAAGGTCTGTAAAACTAACATGGCACTCAGACCAAAGCAGACGAAACGGAGTTCTAACCTTCAGATTCGTAGTCGAGTATAGAAAATTCCAACGATTTATTTTATGTAGTAGCAGCATAAGGTGACAAGAATTTATTGTGCTTTAAACGTTATATAAAATATAGTCATTATTTTCTACGGATATCAAGGTAACCTCTGAATTTCCAGTGTTAGAATCATGATTTAAAAATAAAGAAGTTAACACAAAAAATGGGTTGACAAAAAGATTCTATATTATTGGCTTTGTATCTAATGGTCACAAAGCTTTATGGTCAGAAAGAAGAAATGAACTACTGAAACTGCGCTTTAAATAAAGTGTTGGAGCTTTCGATCTTAGTACACTGTGTCAGACCAAATAAGAGTATCTACTCGCCAGACCTTCAGAATCGCATGCCACTGTAGCATTTACAGAAGAAATTTAACATGTAAAAATCCTAGAAATACAAAGTGATGAGCAAAGTAAAGATGTGAAAAAAGTCTGCAGAAACAAATAACACTAAATAACTGTTTAGACTCATCGGACACACTGAAGTTAAGAAGTCAACGGTTTCATAAATTGCAAATGAGAAAGGTGAAACCTTGTTTTCAATTAGACAAGGTGACTGAAAGAATGAGTGGGTTACTTTTAGAAACAGTCCAGCTAATTTTCAGCTAGTCTTCAAATACTCAACACTAACTAAGTTTGTAAGAATGATTCACGCCGAATTTCCGACTCATAGAAGTCTAAAAAGAACTAACCAACTTGGAGTTAGTAAGAGTAGATCCTCTTAAGCCAGCTGACCACTTAGAATAACGTAAAAATGTCCGTAATGAGTATCTTTTATTCTAAACGTAAATATTTTCTTAAAAACTAGTTTGCATCTAACCCTAGTTTGATTATAAGGTGTGCAGCAGTCAAGCCCATTTACTACCTCAGTCATTATGGGAGTTTCGCCAGATTTGGTGGGTTGGTAGTTGATAAAAAAATGGACAATGATACAATCTTTGATTGCATGTTTTTCCTTAAACCGTATTTCTCATCTTCAGCTTTAGATTAATTTTGATATTATTTTCTCCTCACTGTTTTTTAGATCAATTGCATTCTTTATTTTTCGAACCCCTTGAGAGCGCAAAGCCTCATCTTATCAAAGAAAACAAAGCGCACATCAACGTATAATCTTGTTTGAAAAGTGAGATATAAATAAAGCTAGTTTCAAAGTTGTACCTGATTAGATGTTCCGTCCGAATGAGTGGATGTACGCATCATGTACTTGCAAAGACCAGCAGTTTTCAATAGTCGACGACTCCATATAATCTCTAACTTTGGTGGTAACTGTGGATGAACATAAGTAGTGAGTAAAGATGATATAGCAGATAAGTAGGATAGAACAGAGGAAATAAATAAACAGTAGTGAAATAATTGAATCATAGTGACTGATTTCGGATCGTCAACTATCGGTTTCAACCACCAGTGTCTATCATCAAAAGGAAAATACTCAGGGGATTAGCATCTTTCTACAAAATTCAAGCTGCATGGGATGATGCTAAATTGTAGCATATTATACTTTAGTCATGTCAATTTGGTTTGAATCCATTTACCATGATTGTCGGGGGTGTACAACGGATTAGAATACCTGACTCATAACCCAACCAGATCAGTGCGAACTGGGACACACCATTATCGACTGGTTGCTTTCTTAAGAATGTACGCTGTAATTACAAGTTGGTCCAATAATAGGTAAGAAATGCTCTAAAGACACTGATTATTAAATAACTGTAGTATACATGTAAGCAGAAAACTGAATTTTTAACATTTTGAGGTTTCGTATAAGTCGCTTGTTTCAAATCAATAAATGAGCAACCAAATTATATCAACACAAATAGTACAAATGTCAGATATTCGGTTTTCTACCCATGTTTGTCACTGAAAGGAGTGCCAAAGAAGTACATTAACCTTGTAAAGGCTTTCTACTCGAACACAACTGGTCGAGTGAGAGCTTATGGTGAACTGTCATCAGAAGTGATTGCCTCAAGTGGTGTTCTTCAGGGCTGTCCACTCTCTGCATTCTTGTTTAGCTTCATCGTTGACGTGCTTTTACGGATGACACTTTCCTCATCTAAATTTACAGGGGTTGAACTTCTACCAGGAGATTCACTTGTTGACTTGGAATATGCCGATGACATAGTTCTATTTGGTGAAGACGCCGACAAAATGCAGCGTCTTCTGACCACTCTAAGCAACAATGCAGGCATGTTCGGGGTGCGATTCTCCCCTTCGAAACGCAAAATGTTGCTTCAGGATTGGGTTGCATCGACACCCGAACTAATGATAGGGAGTGTAGTAATTGAGCATGTCGATCGCTTCACTTATCTTGGAAGTCTCATCAGCCCTTGTGGTCTGGTGTGTGACGAAGTCTTAGGACGGATACAGAAGGCTCGACTAACTCGCGTCATTTACGGCGTAGGCGAGACATCCGTCTATCAACCAAAGGACGTGTTTACTGCGCAGCAGTTCGTTCCGTCCTGCTTTATGGCAGTGAAACATGGCCGGTGAGAGTAGAAGACATTCGTAAATTACAAGTATTTGATCATAGATGTCTTCGAAACATTGCTCGTACATCCTGGGACTATCGAGTAAGTAACGCAGTTGTTAGGAAACGGGTACTAGGTAAGGATGGCAAATCCATTGATGAAGTAATGAAACTTCATCAGTTGAGATGGCTGGGACATGTGTTACGTATGCCCAACCACCGACTGTCTCGACGTGCGATGTTCAGTGGTATAGGAGTAGGTTGGAAGAAAGGTAGGGGCGGCCAGACTAAAACATGACACAAGTGCATGAAGTCACTGACAAGTGGTCTGAGTCATGTTGGAAGGCGTAGACTACCTGGTTGGGGACCGCGAGATGATAGCGACCGATGGTTAGAGACCCTGAATAACATGGCTCAAAATCGTTTGCAATGGCGCAGGTGCATACACTCTTTATGTTCTCCCAAATTCTAATCTCCTGATTCCTCATTGTTTCTATTTTTTCTCTTCCCAAATTTATTTCACTGTATTATAAACTTTAAATAACATCTCCAAACCCTAATCTTCCGGATAACTGCTTATACTCTTACTACCTCTACCACTACGAGATTTGAATCGACAACTGCATCTCTGTGTTAATGTGGTATGGCAACTCGAACAAATGTACGTACTTACGAAGTTCTACGTTGTTACTGACTTTCTACCCATTATATATATATATATATATATATATATATATATATATATATATATATATATATATATATATATATATATATATAGCTGTTAAAAGGTCTTACTTGGTTAGAAAATATCTTTTCATTGTAAATTTGATATAATTTTTCAGCTAATTCAGATCGATTTGGCTTAAACTTTTGAACAAATCTGTAACATTGATAGAAATAAATAAATAAGAGATTAGTGCTAAACATTTACGCATCTCTCAACCTGCAAAAATTAAACAAGAAATTTAGAACTTAGTAATCACATGCGAATTCAAGAGACTAATTAGATATCATATTTTTTATGCATGAAATGAGTGATAATTATTCATATGGAGCGTCATTTATCATTGCTTAATGAGATCATGATTATATCATCTGCTTGCTTGAGAGAAAACAACTGGAGTGGCTTTGAATTTATGATCTAACGGTCAATTACTTATTTCAAGTTCCATTTATGTTCTCTATCACATAGCATGCTGTCCAAACAATCAGGTTAAACAATTTTAAAGACTAACCAAACAATCTAGGATATTGAGCGATAGACATCCATCCATACACCAAAAAATGACAGTGATCAAAATCGAACCTCAAATGAAATCCAGTAAACATGTGAATTTTATATTATGTTATACTGTTACTTCCATTGAAAAACCGATTACCTTTATCGCTCTCTAAGGAGTTATATAATTTCACAAGTGTAATTGGTTTAAACTCATTTCTAGGACTAATGATACTAAGGCCGAAAAATTACTCATGGAAGTATAAAAGTGTGGGACTTCATCGTTGACAATTGTTTATGAACTACTGAACTTTTATAGATAAAAACTAAGTAGTCTATTTAGGGTTGTTTCTCTTAGGTACCGATAGACTTCGGGTTTAGAGATTCTACGATATATTCATTAAACTGATACCCCCAGTGTTTTGCGATATTATTGTTCATCCATTATATAAAATGAAACGGTTAGTTAAGGACAGTCACAACAATCTCTTGAACCGTTAATGAAACTGAAATATGTAAAGGCATAAGTTAACTAACCAGTGTTTTTAGTACATAACAAAACATTTCTCAAGGTAACATATTTGCATTTTTTCACTTTAATTACATGGTCGCTAAAACTGTTGCACCAATACAATATAAATTATATCTAGCTACACGAAACTTTTGTTGACTTAGAAAATTGGTGTAAAAGTATATGCCGTAAAAGAATCAAAAAAAACTTTGTAGACTTATCGACATAATCTATGTAAGTTAGTAGGTTGATATTGAGTCAGTCAATCAGCTACAACGTAGGACCAGGCACATATATACATTGGTCCAAGTTGCTACACCTCATCAACACAACAAGATCAACACCAAATTCATAAAAGTAGTCACTTCAATGGTAGTAATATATAAAAGAAACGTTGTGTATAAGGATACAATACAGGAAGAAAGAATTAGTTCATAGAAAGAAAGGTATAAAGTAATTTTAATCTCACAGTTTAAGGGAAGATAGAGGGTGCATATATCTACACCATTACGATCGATTCTAAGCCATGTCACCCAGAGTCTCCAACCACTGGTTACGATAGTCACGCGGAACCCAACCAAGTAGTCTGCATCTAACAACATGGCTCAGATCAGAAGTTAGTAACTTCAAGCACTGATGACACGTTTTGGTTTGGCCGCCCCTAACTTTCTTCCAACAATCCCCAACACTAGTCAGCATTGTGCATCGTGGTAGTCGGCGTTCAGGCATAAAAAACATGTGACCCAACCATCTCAGTCAGTGAAGATCCACAACCTCAACAAGTCATCTGCTACGAGTACTATGTCTGAGCATTAAGCATACTGGAAAAGTTCAGAAAGCTATCTTGAAAGCCATATTTCACTTGATCTGGGCTGCAGTCATTGGGAACATATGCAGAAACGACGAAAAGGCAACGGCATGTATCCCTATCCTTTCGAGTTCTTACGCACCCGTTTAGCCGAACAGCATGTAGGCGACTGTTAACAGAAACCCAGTCTAAAAGTGCTTGTTCTGCCATCGTACTTAGTGTTATGTCTACACCTGCCAGTCAACGAAAACTAGCCCTCGAATCGACAGATATGCGGAGGGTGTATATCGTAGGCTCTCCGTTTTGGCGAGATGAGGTCAAGTGAATGACCATACTAGGATCCTGTATGTGTGTTTCGGAGACAAAGCATACATCAGTCGTACGACATTCTAGTCATGGAGACCTCGTAACCGATTTAACACTGGGTGCGTACATTGAGGGCTCCAATGTGTACTTTGGAGAGAGGCTTCAGTAGACCTGGGACAGTGTTTCGTGCAGTAGAATCATTAGCAATGATTATACTTCAGGAGAAAGCTAAGAGAGGATGTTTAGAGTTGAAAATCGGGGTAGAAGTAATAATAAGGATTGAACAAGAAGACTGGTTATGAATACAGTGATCTTGAGCGCTGTTAGATTTATGAGGGTGGTCATCACTCCCCGGTTGCCCCCACCGTGGAAGGGTTCTTTTGGAGATACCTGAAAAACAAATTGGGTTAGAGGTGGTCTTAGTGACCTCAGAGCGTGACCGCAGTGCAGAAAGAACAACTGCTTGAGGTCGGTCACACACGACCTTGTTGTGAGTAAATTCCGTGTTCGCTCCGTACCTGCTGAGACCTTACCGCCGAAGACGAATATCCGTGGGATAAGGCGAGGTGTGCATTTTTAGAGTGGATCTTTTATAACCACATCGCTCATTTATGGGAGGGGAGCATCGCTGTTATGCTGGTTGTCTGAAGGAAACAACTTACTGCTGTCATATCTCTATACAGTCAACAGTACGACATTGACTTCGGACCTTAAGTTTGCTGCTTTTAGTCTTACTGCTCTTCAAACGGCCTGTATGGCATGGTAGGACCTTGAGGAACAATTGTTCCAGGCACGACCACCATGTCAAAGTAACAGCAACAGTCGGATTGATATTAGCATTAAGAAAAGTAATTGTTAGAGTTTGGCTCCGCCAGTACGACTTCAGCATCAGTTTTATACGGTGATATTCCGAAAAGTAGGTACTTCTAGAACTAACTTTACATACCTGGATACACACAAAAGACATCAGTTACAATAAATGGGTTTTTTAAATTCTGTAGATATCAGTTAAATTTATTTGCCATTTGGAATAACATAAGATCATTAAATACATAACTAGATGGAATCTGAAAGTGTGCATTATGTCCTTAGCCTTCCAAATATTTACAAGGTCATTCAACCGACCAGACTAAAGGCGACCTACAATCTTCCAAATATATTAAAAACAGATATAGTTGTCTATGTTTACAAACCACAATCAGTAAATTTCATTAAACCAATGAAAGTAGTAGGTTATCAAATGTTAGAACATTCACGATTTCTGTAATTCTGTTTGTCACAAAGATTTGGACTAACCCAATATTAGAAAGGATTATAAGCATTATAATCTAGCTTCCTAAGAAACTGCGAGATTTTACTGTCGGACAGAGTAAGGATAGTAATCAAAGGTAAGATGACGGTAGTATCAAAATAGCTCACTTTAACGCATCAGGATGACGAAGTTTCTCGTGTGATGTCTGCTGCCTGTTATCATTATTGTCAACTGGATAAAGAGAATAAACGAATTCCTCCGTAGATACACATTGCGAATTACGCTGTTCTATCTTATATGAAACTTTCTGGTATTTGGAAATATTCGGATACTTTGAAATTTGAACAGCACGTGACTGAGTTTTTCTATCTGGAACAACATATTTTTTCTTTGAATCAGAAAGTTTCGATTCTGACGATCTTGATCTGAAAAGCAAACGAATAACAGTTGCGCATACATAAATCAATTCACGGAAACGTATTAAAGTATCCAACTACGATACATTAGAACGATCTTAACACTCAAATTGAGTATCCGCAAATTAACTAAATGTGAGTAAATACTACGAGTCACGTACATATGAATCTGAATAAATGTTCTTGGAAGTGCAAACCTGATTACCAAAACTGAATGTGAATCAGTCCTGAATCATTAACACAATAATTGAAAATAGAATACCCTAGCGTTGTAACTGCAGATATTTTATATACAACTTAGTGCTCACCTCTGTAAAACCGTGAACCAGACAACCCAAATGAGAACACAAAGACAATGAGGATCTGCATGACACCCAAAATATATCAAAAATCAATAGGTGAATACACTAATTTTTATATGGTGTAGTTCTTATGAACAAAAATGAATATTTAGACGAGATGAGCGCTCTATTATATGATAAAAAATTTCAAAAAATGAAATCATGGAAGCACTAAGTGGCCATTTAGTCCAAGTATGGGAATCCTAAGCAGTACACATTCACAACCCAGCGCACGAGACTCAAACGAGAGAACTTCGGCCACGCGCACAGACACTTAACCTCAAGACCACCGAGCCGGAATCGAACAGTGTCCATAGCATTAGAAAATAGGGATGAAAAAGACAATTTACTAAACAAATTGAATAACATTCATCCATCAATTACATCCAGTTGTTTAGAAAAACGGGGTAAACGCGAAACATTTTTAGACAAGATTGGATGGGTCATTTAATAGAGACGTACAAAGCAATCAGCGATTGGCCAATATACCCATTTTACACTTCGGTACCAATTAGATATAAAAGAAACTCAATAGAAGTCTTTATTTATCATGCTGAAATGGTTTGCTACGATGACATTATCGAAAATGAATCAAATAATATCTATAGAATTCTTGGTAAGAATGGTTTTCCTGCTAAATTCATCAATGGACACATGAACGAGACAAAAATCAGACAGATGATTACGACCATTCAGATTGGGTTACAGCTCATAAGTGACGCTGTGAAATGCTAATACAAAGGTTAAGAAAAGCTGTATAGAAAACATTCACTGCACCCAAGCTAAATGTGATTTCTTACAATTATTCGATATTATTTTTATAATCACTTGTGAAATAAAATAATATAACACCACCACTCGATTAATATGATTTTATTGTTGTAAATTACAGATATATTAGTCTACAGCCATAATGATGAAGAAAAATATTCCTTCTCCCTGTTTATCTTCTCATTAATTTTTATATGATGTATATTGGTTAACAATCAGGTTTTCATTGATAACTTAATAAATATAAATATACAGTATCATGAAATTAGCTACCTATGATCAACAGATATAATTAATATAATTACTCTTTCTTAAAATGTGATTAAAATTAGTTTCATTAAAATGAATAGTAGTTCACAACTATGAAGAACTTGTTTTATATTATAGACTATTGAAAGATTGTTTCTGCGTTGTTAAGTTTCTAAGTGATCGACGTTGAGAACGCTATATGGTTTTGGAAAGATATATCATTTGATAATCCAATCCTCATCGATTTATGACTATTTACCGTTTACTAAGACGGGCGATTACGATGAAGAAAAAGACAAAAATCAAACAGTTCAACTGTCCATAGATCAATTGGATGTCAATCGAAGTCGTTTAGGGAAATGTAGATGGCCTTAGTAGAACACTCAAAATATCAAGAATCGCTTACTTTAGGCCTTAAATTATACAGATCGAAGTTTAACACCATGGTCCAAATAATACTATTCTTCATTTTTCTCGTAATTTTACGAACAATTGTTATGCCACATTTGTTCATTACTTGTCTACCAAACAAAGAAATATCATTGGTCTTTGAAGTCATCCACTACTGAACTGGATTTTTTTTCAGGAAGCGTAGACCTCCTTTTTCATCGGTAGATTATATCAATCTGTATTTGGTAGCTTTACATAATGCGTAGCGAAGTTGGTAGTAATGAAAATTCTTAATATTATTTACTTTTATTCGCCAGTGTCATATACCATTCTTCAGCTATGTTTGTAGTTGTTAGGTTTCATCAATGTCACTAGTATATTAAGCTTCTTAGCTAATCAAATTATTCTTGCGTTAAGAAACATGAACGGAAAGATGTTTGTAATGATTCTTATAGTGTTTATCTAATGATTTAGGTCAAGTAGGTTTGCACTTGTAAAAGTATTAAAGTATGTAATAGAATGCTAAAACAACCATACACGACAATAACGGTTTAATGTCCTGATAACCAATAAGAATTGTTCTTTAGCGATGTATCTTTAGAAACTTACAACATTTTTGAAGATTATGCACACGGAGGCATTCCAAAATGATCAACATAAAAATAGGGTTGGAGATATTTGAGTTCATTAGTTCTCTGTTGTTCATGATGTTCAAGAAAAACGACCTTAACCACAGTTGGTGGACTTAAGTTCAAAACTGCGACCTACTAGTTAAAAGCCGATGAGTTTAGAAAGCAAGCTACCGCTTCACTTGAAAGATAATGAGATGAAGTGCATACATGTAGCATTTAGCTTCCATTGAACACCTTGCAAATAAAGAGGACGTCTTGTTATACATCAATGCCCATCATTACTACTACTAACCCAAGCAAATAATACTGGTATTCCAACGTTTGTTTCAAACAACAGCTTGATGAATATCAGTCTCGAGAAAATACACCCAATATTATAGAACATAACTATAGTAACAATCATTATGAAGGATAGTCTTATTAGCTACCTAGAGATTAATAAAACAGGAGGTCTAACAGAGACAAAATATCATATGATAATAAATATGAGACTTTCTGTTAACTAAACAACTTACGGTAATTTTGTGGTATCAGACAAATGCAACTTGTTGTTGACTCTGTAGTAAAACGTTTGATATGGCGAATCACAACTCGACCTATCATCGTCATCAGAATCCCAAGATGACCATTCACTGAATTGATTAACCTCAATTTTGTTCATCTTGGTTTGCTGGGATTTCAAAAAGTTTTCAAATGCATCATCATCATCACTACTGCTAGCATGTGATTTGATATTGTTAGAACTACGATTAGCTGTCTGATCAAGTGATTTATTTGAGTGACTACTAGAAATTGACTTCTCTACGTCAGCTTTGGAGGATTCCAGAAACGTTGTAAAGAAATTATCGTCGCTATCACCAGGGATAAAATTCTCTTTGGTACTTGTATCAACGTTATATTTGAGGACTGATGTAGTTAGTGCGGATGATTGTGCAATGAGATCATCACTGGAAACTGCCTGAGTTGTCTTTGGTTCAAAGAAGTTTAAAGATTCATAATCACTGAAGTTGTTACTTTTACAGTAGGAGTTTCCCAGGATACTTGAATTACAATGCGAGTTAGTCTTTAAAAGTGCTTGCATTGGTGACTCTTTACTAGAAGGTGCGCTGGTATTTTCTACAATGAACGACGAATTTTTTCCTATATCAGATTTTTCCTGCTCAAAATGAAAACTATGTGATTCGTCCAAATGAAGTGTAGAAGGGCGTATTTCACGGGAACTCGTGATCAGATGGTTGCCAGTGAACAGAGGATGTGAGTTTTTTTTCCTTGAACTGAGCTATATGAATAGCGCAATGGTAAGAGAAATAGACTTACGTGTCCAATAATACTCAAGATATCATTTTTGATAGGTGTTCGGTTAAAAAAATCCATTTGACCGTCTAGAATTTTATACGCAGCTAGTATAAAATATAAAGACATTTTGAGAATTAAATTCAAGTAGCTATTCAGAAAACTAGACGATTTAATAAGATATTTTTTAGTAAACGATCTACAAGCTAAATAAATTAATTTTTGTCCATCAATCAATCATAGAGATTACATGTAAACCTTAACTAATGAAAACTCCTAGCCTTTGCAAGTACATGACACGTACAACCATTTATTTTTAAGAAACATTTAACCAGATACATATTTAAAATTCACCAGTTGTACAAATTTCTAAATTGTTAGGATCTTTATTCCTCTGGTCAAACAAGAACTACCATTTAAACAGATATTATATTTGAGGAATATATAAAATTGAAAACGAACGTTGATGATTTCAAAATGTCAGAATATTTGTTGGTTAAAGTCACCATAGGTGGCAAATTTCCTTTGAATGGTTTGCCGTACTTTTCTTTATTCAAGAATCATATATGCTTCCTAAAAAATGTTCCGAAGATTAACGAACATTTTTAAATTTACCAGCTTTGTGTATATGATAAATTTTTCATTAGTTGGCAGGAAGTCTTTACTTGTTATTATTGAATAAGAATGCATGACTTATAAGTGGTAGTTTTCAATTGGATGGGAATCCTATTAAACCCTTTTCTAGTAACAGAATCTAGAGCAACTACATAGACCGGACGACTAATACAGAACACCAACCCCATCCAAGGATGACAACGAGACTTTTATGGAGATTTTGCATATACCGACTAGAGGTAATCAAATAAGAATTATGGCACACACAGTGTTCTATGAAATGAACTAAATAAGAGAAATAAGCCCACACTGAACCTGCCACTATAACATGATCAGACGTAGATACTGTAATAACCTGGTCGAACCACACTATCTGGAACTGATACGATGACCAAGGACTAGGCCTAACAATCAAGTTCTAGCTACTTGGAGATTGACTTACAAACGAAATCGCTACAATGGTCTATGAAATGGTACCTTGCATATTTTATGTGAATTTTTCGTACATAAGGTCATTTCGTTACATAAAAACTCGTTTCGTTGAGGTCTTTTCCAATCCATCTTCCTTACTAGACTTCTCTTCTAGTAGTTCATGGAATGATCGTTGAAGTGTTGTGAATTGAACCCCCATTCAGTCTATTCAGTTAGTATAGATCTCCTTCCGTTTTAGAATCTCGGAACCACTGTTTATTCAGAATTATCGTACTTAAATTTAAAATAGGAACACTTATTTCTTTACGTTCTACCATACCCGACAGGTCGATCAAGCAACGCTAAGCAGCAACTTAAGTTTCGAGGGTGAAATCGTACTTCCAACTGCATTGAGATGCGAAGACAATAAGATGTTTTCTTTACATAACTGAGGTCTGCAGTGATTACTTTTTCTCAATAGAAGAGGTTAGAAAACGTCACGTATAAAAAAAATGCACCCTACAGATTTCCGTTCCAGCCAGTAACAAAGTATGGAACTAACCAAAAGTAACCCATAAAAAGGCTCTGTATGATCATCTGCGATTAGTTATTTCTTAGGTGTAAGGTCACGCCTTTAAATCGATGAGACCACTACTAATGAAGTTTCTCTTTCAAGTTCCTCAAGTATCCCCACTGTGTTACAACTCAAAAATTCACAAACACCGACACACCCCTAACAAGATGTAAGATAATTTTATTTACGATCAAATACCTCCACTATATGATAATTCGTCGATCATTATTACCAATCCTTTCCTATGGTCGCATCTTTTTCCCACGCGCGACCAAAATAAATGATTTAAGTATGGTGCACTTACCTATATATATTGTTGCAGGCTCAAACTAGTTAAGTCACATACATATTTGCAAGGCAATGTCCTACTCCGTCTTCTCGTGGCAGGGGCGTTGTTTGCTAACTTGAAAAGCGAATTTGCGGTGCTTAAATAAAATTGATGAATATGGATCCATATAGGGGGATCGAAAAATCATGATTCCAAACCAACTGTGTACATGGGGGGTTGCAAGACTTAGAGGAAACAACTGTGGTGTGAACTCGTTGTTGATCACCGGCTATCATGAGGTCGCATCTCCTAAAGTTCTTGCGGACGAGACCACAAGGTCTTAGGGAGCACCCTGACAGTATTCCAGCCCATTCACAAATTCAACGATTTATGAAGTGCAAATTTATTTTGATACCCCTTTGTACCAGTATGTGTTTACATGATTTTTAAAAAATACAAGAGTTTATTCAACGTTACTCCTGGCTTCCTGGAGTCGCACTGAAAATTACATTTTCGAGCCACTATCTCAATTTTCGTTCAACTTCATCATAGACCTACTGCTGGAAATAACGCTCTCGTATACTGAATTTTAGGGAATTGATCCTCTACCAGGAGGTCCACTTATCGACTTAGAATACGCAGATGATATAGTCCTGCTTAGTGAAGACGCTAATAAAATGCAGTGTTTTGGTAGCTCTGAGCAACAATGTCAGAATGATTGGGATGCGTTTCTCCCCCTCTAAATTCAAGTTGTTACTTCAGGACTGGCCTGCGTCAACACCTAAACTAAAGATAGAGAGTGAAGTAATCGAACACATCGACAACTTCACTTACCTTGGAAGTCTGATCAGCCTTAATGGGTTGGCGTTTGACGAAATCTCTGCACGGATTCGAAAAGCTCGTTAGGCTTTTGCTAACTTACGTCACCTATGGCAAAGGCGAGATAACCATCTATAAATTAGGGGACGAGTATACTACATAGTAGTTCGTTCAGTTTTACTTTACGGCTGTGAAACGTGGCCATTAAGAGTAGAAGACAATCGTAAGCTACTAGTATTTGGTCACAGTGTTCGCGTTAGTCTGAACAACTTCTTATTGAGTTACGAATATTGTTACGGTAGGGAATAATTAGTCTGTAATGTGGATGGTTTAAAGCACATTGCTGAAGAGGTGATTAAACAAGGTAGTCTAGTCATTTTCTGCCTTTCCTTTTGATTCGTACATACGAAAAATGAGGCGTTCAGTACACTGCGGATATGCAGCGCTTAAACAAGCTGCACAGCGGTATACCGTAGAAGTTCCCTTTCAAAGTCTACTGAATCAAGGCATGTCAAAAAATGTGACTGAGTCTGAGGTAAGTTATGATTTCTCTAAGAAAATCATCACTTGCAGAAATTCAAAACTGTCAACTACTAGGCCTGACAACGCAGTAATTGCAAACGGTCAACCGGGGTTCACCACAAATTACTGATGGAGGCAGGAATGGGTTTAGGGCATTCCATAACCCTTTAGACTTTGTTATTGACCCCTTTCCCTGCAGCACTTACTTATTTACGCCTGTTACTCCTCCTAGAGGAGTATAGGCCGCCCACCAGCCCTCTCCATCCAACCTTGTCCTGGACAATCCTTTCCTGTTGTTATTCATCCTCTTCATATCTGCTTCTATTTCCTGTCATAATGTGTTCTCTAGCCTTCCTCTTTTCCGCTTCCCTTCAGGATTTCAGGTTCGGGCTTGCCTCGTGATGCAATTTGGTAGTTTCTGCAATGTATGTCCTGTCCACTTCGAACGTCTTTTCCTAATTTCCTCTTCAGCTAAAAGCTGGTTTGTTCTCTCCCACAAAAGGCTGTTACTGATGGTATCCGGCCAATGTATGTTGAGCGTTTTGCGTATACAACTATTTGTAAATACTTGTAACTTATTGATGATGGTTGTAGCTCTCCACGTTTCAGCCCCGTACAGTAGGACTATCTTGACGTTCGTATTGAAGATTCTGACTTTGATAGCGATTGACAGTTGCTTAGAGTTCCACATGTTATTCAGTTGTAAAATGCGACCCCTGCTTTGCCAATACACGCCTTTACGTCTGCATCCGATTCTCTTTGTTCATCGATGATGCTTCCCAGATACGTGAAGGACTCCACATCTTCCAGAGTTTCGCCATCAATTGTGACTGAGTTGGTGTTTTCCGTATTGTATTTGAGGATCTTGCTTCTTCCTTTGTGTATGTTGAGGCCTACTGATGCAGAGGCTGGTGCTACATTAGTTGTCTACATCTGCATTTGTTCGTGTTTATGAGATAAGAGGGTTAGGTTATCTGCGAAATCCAAATCGTCTAGTTGATTCTGAGCTTTCCTTCAGATGTCAAGGTCTTCACAATTCAATCAACCATCAGAAGACAGAGGAAGGGGGAAGTAGACAGCCTTGTATATTCAAGTGTTCAATCGTAAGCCACGAGTGTAAGTATATTAAGCTGGCAGATATACTTTGAAAGTGTATCTATATACCGACAAAGCAATATGAGGTTATCATTCCCCTGGTACATACATTTCGATAAATAACGTGACATCATTTCTCAAGGTCGGTCGCAAATATAATAGTTTATGTAGTAAGTATGCATGTTGGTTAGTGCTTTGACCTCGTTCACCAGGAACGTATTACGAATGTTCTTGAATGTAATAAGTTTCTAATTTTTAACGCTACAGCATTGATTTTTAGCATCAATCAGGACAGTACATCTTGGCTCACGACAACGGAAGAATCAAGTTCTAGTCATCCCTAGCAAATGGCTGCTGAACAATGAACTTGTTTATCGCGATGATGTGTAACCGATATTCTTGATAGTATCGATTGCGATAGTCGCTTTTGTTCGAGAAAATGCACAGTATTACATCGTTGTGGTAAGTTGTAATCACTTTGATTTCATTGTTTTCAGATGACTACCATATAGCCGAGGGATTGAAAGTATCTTTCACTACAGTACTCGATTACAAAAGCACAAATGCACCCGATGATGACACGCTGCCGTGTGGAACAGAGAAACCGAAGAGGTAACTTGATAAACGTATGCAATTAATTCGTTGTTAGGGCTGTAAAATGCAAGAAGAACGACTAATTGGGCACCTCTGAAGAACTAGAGGTTGTTGAAATGGAAGGTGCATCCGTCCTGGTTGATTTTCCAGTTGTCAACATTTTGATTGGAAAATTTTCATTAT